GGCACCTGGGTGGCTCTGAGGGATGAGTACCTGCCTTTGGCTCAGGTCGTGATCCCAGAGTCCCTTGCTCTCCTTCTGTTACCACCCCCCTCCCATGCTCTCTTTTGTTCTTGCTCACTCTCCTTAAAAAAAAAAAAAAAATAAGACAGGGGCGCCTGTGTGGCTCAGTGGGTTAAAACCTCTGCCTTCGGCTCAGGTCATGATCCCAGGTCCTGGGATCGAGCCCCGCATCGGGCTCTCTGCTCAGCGGGGAGCTTGCTTCGCCCCCCCCACCCCTGCCTGCCTCTCTACCTGCTTGTGATCTCTCTTTCTCTCTTGTCAAATAAATAAATAAAATCTTAAAAAACACAAAAAAGACAGAAACCAATTTCATTTCCATTACTACTGTGACATCTACATTTAGGGCACAATCCATTAAATAGTGTTTTCTGTCTCTATTGATATGCAATGTTACCTCTGTCATTCAGCAAGGTTGCGTACATACAACGATCTGTTTCTCTCAGCTACTCCACACTAGCTTAATACACCATAGCCTAAAATTAAGTCTTGGGACAAAACTTTTAGTTTATTCATTAATTCCATTCCTTGGAATGTACCCTAAAGAAATGAGTGCCCATATCCATCAGTGGACATTAAAGGAATATTAAAAGCAACATTTTTGGATAATAACCTCAATGTGGAAATAACTCAACAGTAAAATGAAAAAACTGTATTGTATGCAAACAATGGATGAGTGCACAATAGTACAAAGGAGGTAACTACAGCAACATGTAACAACACAGGTGGCTCTGCTAACTTAATGTGTATGTTTCCATCGCCTTCATTGACCATTTTGGGGCTTGTTCTCTTGCTTTTCTCATTTTTTTTTTCAAGTATTTATTTATTTATTTATTTGTCAGAAAGAGAGAGAGAGAAAACACACAAGCAGGCAGAGAGGCAGGCAAAGGCGGAGAGAGAGGCAGGTTCCCTGCTGAGCAAGGAGCCCGATGCGGGACTCGATCCCAGGACCCTGGGATCATGACCTGAGCCGAAGGCAGCAGCTTAACCCACTGAGCCACCCAGGCGTCCCTCTTTTCTCATTTCTTAACTGGCCTCTTGGTTCATGAAGTTTCAGCATTAAAAAAAAAAATAATATAAGCCTTAAAAGGCTGTGAGTCTCTCTCTAGGCACGTCTTCAGATACATCCCCCAAGTTTTAACATGCAGCAGAGCAATTATTCAGTTCTAAGTATTTTTAATATTTTTATTATGATTTTATTTTTAAAAAAAGATTTTATTTATTTGGCAGAGAGAGACACAGCGAGAGAGGGAGCACAGGCTGGGGGAGTGGGTGAGGGAGAAGCAGGACACAAGCAGGCAGAGAGGCGGGCAGAGGCGGAGAGAGGCAGGTTCCCTGCTGAGCAAGGAGCCCGATGCGGGACTCAATCCCAGGACCCTGGGATCATGACCTCAGCCGAAGGCAGAGGCTTAACGACTGAGCCACCTAGGCGCCCCATGTTATGATTTTATGTTTTACCTAGTTTTTTTACATAAATTTCTCTTTTTTCCTTCTAGAACCAGGATTTCAACCCGGTTCTGATTCTACAACCCAGCTCATAACCATTATATTATCCTTTTGCAATCTGCTTTGTTATTAATCAACAAATAGTGTCCAAATTCTAACGTGGCGAACAAAGCTCTCTGCATGATCTGGTCCCTACAACCTTCTTCAGACTTATTCCCCAGGCCCTAGACCATACGACTCTAACTAGCTCTGTGTTTTGGCAACAGAAGCTTTCTTTCACCTCCTTGAACCTGCCATGCCTTTTCATACTCAGCCTGTAACGTTTGTTCTGGCCTTGATCCTTTACGTAACAGATGAAGTCTATTCTCCAGATTTTAATTTCATCGCTACTTCCACAGTGAGATCAATCACTTCAACAATATATTCTCGTAACACTCAATAACCACTCATGCTGGAACTCCGACTGTGTGATCCCTGAGGGCAGGGAATTATCTAAATTTGCTTACCATTGTTACCTACCCTCAGCACGCTGGATAAATAATTTTGCAATAAATGTTATTAAATAAGTAAATGAACAACCCCCTGCTATGTAACAAGTACCATAGCAGGTTCTACTTAAAAAAAGGTGAAGAACTGTTGCTGTCTCTGGGAACCTCCTGTGATATGTCCTCTCGTGATACATCCCCTCTCCTCCTGAGGGTAGAAACTGTATCTTCCTCTTCGTAATTTCTTCAAATTCTAAACTGTAATTTTGTGGAAAATTAAAGTGTTTCATGTTGGTGACTATGATACTAGAATTTCCTGGAACAGAAAGGCTTTTCTGGAATACACCCTCTTCTCCCAAGCACATTTTTAAGGTGACCCTTCCCCTAAAATGAATGGTCAAATTGTCACGAACTGTCACTTTCTTACTACCATGAAGGCAGGAATCATTCTCTTTTCAGTGTTTTTTTAAAAGATTATTTATTTGAGAGAGAGAAAGAGAACAGGCGAGGAGGAGGGGCAGAGAGGAGAAAGCAGACCTCCCACTGAGCAGGGAGCCCGACATGGGGCTCGATCCCAGGACCCCAGGATCAAGACCTGAGCTGAAGGCAGACGCCTCACAGACTGAATCACCCAGGCGCTCTCTTTTCAGTGCTGTAAAGCCTCAGTGATTAAGATGAACAAACACTGGTTCTTGAAATAGGCTGCCGGGCCCTGAAACCGTGACAATGGACCCTGGGACCCAACAACATAAAATGTTTAAAAAGTTTAAATTAAATCTCTTTTTAAAATAAAATCTCTATTTTCCTGCCTTTCCAAAGGGGGAAAAAAATTACTATAATTCAGTGGGAATATGGAGAGTAAAACTACATACAACATAAAACCAGCTACGCTTGTAAAACCGTAACCTGACAAACGAATGGTCATAAATACAGCACCAGCTCCCGCCTCGGTCGAAAGCCAGTTCCAGCTGATCAAACAGCCGTGTGCTAAAGGTGACGGGGCAGGAGGGTGCTGGGTGGCTTCGTTAGTTAAGCATCTGCCTTCAGCTTGGGTCATGATCCCAGGATCCTTGATCAAGTTCCACAGTGGGCTCCCTGCTCAGCTGGGGGGCTGCTTCTCACTCTTCCTCCGCCCCTCCTCCCGGCTCTCTCTCAAATAAATACGTAAAAATCTTAAAAAAAAAGAAGTAAAGGTAATATGGACTCCACTGAAGGAGAACAGTTAAATAAATTATGCTGTATTCTTAGCACGGAGTAGGGTAATTCGACATGCCCTAATGACAAGATCTCTGCGACATATGAAGAAAAAGAGTTAAAAACCATAGGGCACCACCACTTACTGAGACCCCAGCTCTGCGGATGCACACCTCTGTACGGGTGTAAGAAGCAATCTCTAAACAATGAATACTGTTACGCTGAAAATAAATAAAAAAAATAATAATAATAAATAAATAAATAAAAGAAGTAATCTCTACCCCCAGAGTGGGGTTTGAACTCATGATCCTAAGGTCAAGAGTCACACACTCCCCTGACTAGGCCAGCTGGGTGCCGTTATGTGGTGTACGGTTCACAGTCCTGCTCTTGAGGAGAACAGGATTGGAGAGGAAATGAGATCATGTGAAAAGAGACTTAACTTTTCCATCAGTAAGCTTTTCGTTTCACTGAAAGTAGTACAAGTACGTACTACTCACGAAAGAAATTTCAATCCCACATATTCTGTAGAAAAAAAGGTATTTTTCCTAAATGTATGCATTAGAGAGAGATGATAAACCTCTCTCTCGGGGCACCTGCGTGGCTCAGTCAGTTCGGCGGCTGCTTTTGGCTCGGGTCGTGATGTCAGGGTCCTGGGATCGAGCCCCACAGTGGGCTCCCTGCTCCTCCCTCTCTCTCTGCCTGCTGCTCTGCCTACTTGTACTCTGTATCTCTGTGTCAAATAAATAAAACCTTGAAAAAACAAAACAAAAAACCTCTCTCTATAAGATTTGCCCAGGCAGATGGTAGAGAAAAAGACTAATAAACTCTAATTGTTCCATTGTTGTTTGGCAAAAAAAATAGAGAAAATCAAATGTCATACAAAAAACATTAACGGTTATTATTTTGACTGTATAGAATGAGTACTTAAAAAACAGGTAAGATACATCAACAAATACTAATGTCCCAATATGCAAATTAGTGCAAATTGAAATAAGTAGGAACCAACATTTATGAAGCATATTTCACCTATATCAAAACAATGAAAACATTTTTATAAAGATTTTTAGAAAGATAATTTCCAGGGTAGATAAGAGTGGGGGTAAATAGTGTATGACACTGTATGTTAGTAGAACTATTAACAGGTGTGGCTTTCAAGAGAGCAGTTTGAAAGTAAATGTTAAGAGGCTTACAACGTGTCTTGCAGTTTTAATTTGTATTTGTCTAATTGTGAACGGGACTGCCATGTGATTAGGACAGCCTGCTGTGTTTATAACGGAACGGTCATTTGAAAATGGGGAGTATCCTATTAACTCACTTAAAACTACCAAACATACCTTTAGGGAAAAAACCTGGTTGGATACAACAAAAGAATTAAGAGCTCTTTTTGGGGAGTGATTTTTGGCTCTGTGCTCTGTATCTTTTAGAAAAAAGCAAGAACATAACAAGGAGACTGTGAAGAAAATAAACGTAACACGCAGAAAGCCTATGTGGTGACAGGACGGAAAGCGGAGAAGACAGTGCGAGCCTAAAAGTAACCGTAACACAGCCGCGTGCTGGGCAAAACAGAACCTCACTGGGCCGTGATTTCCTCTTCTGCAAATCGGGGGTTCAGACTGGACTGTTACATCCCACGTGCTTCTTAATTCTTTATAATTTTGGGCAGCCACGAATAAGAACGCGCTGAAACAAAAGCCCCAGAGGAGCGCAGGTTTACATCAGGAGGGTGAGGGGTTACCCGCGAACTCGCCGCACCCGGACCTTACGTCCATAAGCCGCTATTCCGCTCTGCTCGGACAAGCCGTGGACACGGATAATTACCTCATGCAGCGCTCCTGCTCGTCCTCTGGGAACGGCTTCTGCTTCTTCTTGGCCTGCTCCTCCAACAGCCAGCTCTTCCGCTTCAGCCCCTTCTTGTGTTCTGGACTCAGGGTGACGCTCTGCACCACAGCCTCAATGGCGTCCGTGACCGTGTCGCCGCGGAGCGGCAGGGCCGCGCTCTCCTCGCCCTCGGTCGAGTGGGGGCTGACAAACCGGGCGGCCTGGAACGCTTGCATGGACACCACCGCCTGGAGGGGGCATTTCCGAGGTCGCCCCGGTCTGCGCTTCACAAAGTTATTCCCTGTCCTGGCCTGTCTTTGAAGTTTTTTGGCTTTTAATATTTTATTGACATGGTCCAGGTTTTTCTTCGTGGCCAAGATTTTGTCATAATTGCACATTTTCCGAGCTTGGCGCTGCATGGCTTCCACGACACTCCTCTTGATGTGGTGGGGCGAGCAGCTGCTCTGTGGCTTCTCCGACAGGAGAGAGATGCTGCCACCGCAAGTGTCACTGGGGGCCACGGGCACCAGAAGGCTGTCTGGCTTCCCCAGGGCCCGCTCCTTGCTGTGGCTGTGTCCTGGGCTGGAGGAAGGGGGCCCTGAGGCAGACGCGATCCCGGCATCGATGTTCTTCTCCAGGGGCTCCTGGTCCTCGTGCTGGACCACCCGCTGCAGCAGACTCCCCACAGAGTCGTCCCCAGAAGCAAGCAGTCTTGGACTTCGAGAGGGAACTCCGTTTACTAAAGAAGACGACAAATCACACAGATACGAACTGAACACAGCTTGGCATTTAAGTAACTTCTTATACCAAAGAAAAGGAATACTGCTCCATTTTTCTTAACACGATTAAACATCCTAACACCATACGCATCTGCCTCTCCCAAGCAAGTTGATGGTTTATTTTCCTGAATAAGGCATATTAAAGTAATCATAACAAATTCAAAGTTGGGGCACCTGGGTGGCTCAGTGGGTTAAGCCTCTGCCTTCGGCTCAGGTCAGGATCTCAGGGTCCTGGGATCGAGCCCCACATCGGGCTCTCTGCTCAGCGGGGAGCCTGCTTCCTCCTCTCTCTCTCTCTCTGCCTGCCTCTCTGCCTACTTGTGATCTCTGTCTGTCAAATAAATAAATAAAATCTTAAAAAAAAAAAAATTCAAAGTTGGCCTGCTTCCCTAACAATACGTGAGCTACGAAGCCACAACCACAAAGAAATGGCTTATTTCTTCGGAGCTGATGGTCCATTTACGTTTGGAGCCTTGCCAGTTAGACGCTGGTAATACTCCTGGTTCAGCGCTCTAACAATGCTGTGAGTACAAAGGATACAAGTGAAACTTCTTAGGAAAAGCTTTAAAACTGGAACACTAAACGTATGTCTAAACTAGTTTAGAAAGAATACATGTTGACCGAAGACTGGAAAATAAGTGGTCTTCGGTGAACCTTCTTATCTTAGTGGCCCAATGACTTGGTGATCTTTGTTCTTCAAATACCACTCTGCACTTTTTTATGACTACACAGAATGTGGGAAATGCTGACCCTCCCCTGGTAAACTGTCTTAGTTCTGCAATATTTGTAAACATCAGATCGTACTTGGGCCATTTCCCAAGATGCCAGTCGGTTACTACTAATGAACACGGGTCATACTTTTTTCCAAAGCTCATCGATGCACTTCCTGCCTGTGTGCGTTTAAAATGCGGTACTATTCTAGGTACCCCTTCAAGCCCTGCGTATTCTAAATTTAATCTTATCAGACCACACTAGAATTTTTCTCAAATTACCAATAACTCCCTTCAGGTGATATCCAGTAGTCTTGTTTAAATTCAGGATTTTTCAAATTTCAAATTCTCAGAGCCATTAAATACCACCACTTCTTAAAATCTGGCCTCCACGGTTTCTCTGAGAATACACTTGGATTATCTTCCAATTACTTGCAACTCTATCAGATTTAACTGCAGAGGTCCCTAACCCCCAGCACTGTCTTTACCTTTCATACTTACCTCCCCCCGGCCCCATGTTTATTCTCGCAGTTTCAATGATCCGAGTACATGTCCCAATCTTCAATTTTATCTGAAGCTGACCACAATGAGAACTGCCTCCTTCCGACACCGGCTGGTGCCCGTGAGCATTTTCTCACTCTGTCTGGTACAGGTGCTTTCCTTGCTGAACTCTCCACACTTTCTGGCAATTCATTCACCTACCACCTACATTCTGACCATGCCCCAAGTTCTACCTTCCGAACAAAGCCTGCTTTTCTACTTCTCAACTTTTGCATGTTTCACCGATTTCTCAAACTCTCAGTCACAGCCCAAGTCATTACCTTCTCCTTCAACCTTGCTCCTCCAGACTACTGAACTCAGCGGGGATACCGGCAAGTCGCCTCCCCAACATCATGCACCCGCGCCACCAACCCGACAGCAGCAGTTCTGTCAGCCACGCTCAGGCCACATCACCTACTATTCCTCCGCTTCCCTCCCCACACACCAGAAAACGTGGTTTCGTGGGAGTCCGGCTCCTGAACCGATCTGCTTCCCGTCGTGACACCACAGCCACTGGACGCTAAGCCAGCCTCATCTCCCAGCCCCGAAGCAGCAGTCCGACAGCTTGCGGAGCTATTATAACCTGCACCCGAGTCTTCTGCTTTCTCTCCCATCAGGTGGTAGATCTAATTTTCCTCCTCTTGAATAGGAGCTGCCCTCAGTGAGCTCCTTCCAGTAAAAAGAATGCCACGGAAGAAAGAACATGCTGATTTCCAAGTGTGGGCTGGAAAAGGCAGGACACATGCCACCTGGCTCTCTCTGACGACATCTGCCCTTGGCTCCCAGCGTCCACACCATCAGGCAGTCTAGGCGGGCTACTGTCATGTTTCCCAATAGATTCTGCTAAGGTCACAGACGACAGCTTCCATAATGATGACCGCCGCCATCAGTGCAATAATATTCTTATGTATTAACCCTTCAGTGTATTTACCCCTCTGGATTAGTTCAAGGATGGACCATAAGATGTCTTGTACAAAATTGTATTTATTCAGTCGTTTATACATCTCAATTACTAAACAGATGGTCGCTACACATTTTCATTTCTTTGTCTACAACTTGAAGGTTAGGACATAGCTCTGATTCAGTGATCTGCTTTCTGAATGCAAAATAAAGGCTGTCCCTCTTGTGCTGCTGGAGAAACGAGAATGCCAGGTCAACTGAGACTGAGGATATATTCACTGAAAACACTCGGGTTTATACTAAATAGGAATTAAATCTTCCTTTGGCTCTGGAAGGAACTCAGGGCACTACCACTCAACAACACATTTTCGTTAGTTTTTTCCTGCGTCCCACAGGCAGTATCCGTCGCATGTGAGGAGCGCCTGGGTGGCTCATGCAGGGAGGTGGGAAGCAGCCGCCTTCGGCTCAGGTCAGGATTCCAGGATCAAGCCCCAAGTCAGGCTCCTTGCTCAGTGGGGAGTCTGCTTCTCCCTCGCCCTCCCCCTCTGCCCCTCCCCCAGCTCATGCTTTCTCTCACTCTCTGTCAAATAAATAAATAAAATCTTTAAAAAAAAAAAAGGGCACGTGAGACAGGAGATGAGAATGAGCTTGTGGAGAGAAGCTCCTTTCCTGCTCCGCCCAAAGCCAAACTGAAACGAGGAACCGCCTTCTTCTGTGATGGGTTTGTTTCCATTTGCTCTTACCCTGGTAAACGCCACATTTATGCAGGGAAACCTGACCTGAACTTCTGTGCCGCTCAGGCTATCTGCCACCAGGAGTCAGGCGGATGGCAAGGGGTTCTAACACTCTTCAGTTCTGTTGAGTTAAGCTTTCTACAACTTCTGGTTTCCTATTGATTTCAAAGTTCAGCAATGTTTTAAGAAGCGTTTTCTGAATTTTATCTCGTATTTTTAGTTTTAGGTAGCAAGAAGTTTGTCTGCTCAGTACATCTCATTTACCTCGTTGCTGGAAATAAAGAGCTCGAATTTAGACCACGGCCACTTGAATTCTAGCAGTCTCCTCTCGAGGAGCCAAACTGCTCTAACTCTCCACTTGCAAACTAGTTCTATAAAAATCATTTTCCCAATTATTAACCCTTTTCTGTCCTAATTTTTCTTGGCCTCTTTGTGACATCTTACGTTAAGAGGCTTCTCGTACTTTTTGATTTTTCTATATAAAAAAATCTATTTAAAACTTTTATGTCATCACTGACATCTTTCCCTCCACTTCCCTCCAATGCAAATGTTTCTTAAATCTGCATTCTTGCCATCCTCTCTGGGTTAGCTCACTCACTGCCAGATTAAACCTCCTATTGCATTCTGCTAGGTCCACATCTCCTCCAGATATCCCCCTCAAACTACCAGCCACCACTTCCAAATGGCTAACCAACACCTTCACGTCAACAGCCCAAACGCTGCTCAAATTGAACATGTCCAAACCCGAAGCCATTACCTATGCATTTCTTCGTGCGTTTCTTGTCCCATTCCACTGTCCACGCTGGAATTCTGTAGAGCTTTTCCAAAATGGGTGTGCGGCAGACCATGCTGTTGGGACCAGTCCTTGCCGCACCCCCCCCCGCCTTCCGTAACATCGTACCCCCCACTCCTCCTCCGCAGAAGACTTACCCTCGCCCCCTGCTTTAGCCCTGAAATGTGGGCAAAAACTCTAAGAGCTGCTCAGGGCTTTCCTATGCCCCTCACCCCCCCTCACAAGACCAGCAACACTGCAGACAGAGGCTCTGCCGGGCGGGCGGGGGCCTGGAAGGAAGACAACACCCAGAGGACCCGCAACGGTCACAGGGTAGGAACAAAAGGAAGACTTTGTTGTCTCCAGTCCCTGAAATTCTGGGCCTTTTTCAGCACCACAAAGTCTATCCAATACTGAATTATACAATATATCAAATAGTTTTTATCTTTCCTGTTCAAAATCCTTCACTGGCTCCCAACTGCCTCTACAGCAAAGACTCAAGGCCTTCAAATGAAACAAACAAACAAACAAACAACAAAATAGCCTGCGCCCTACGGGGCCCCGCGACTTCCGCAGCCTCGCTCGCCGCCGCAGTCACATCAATTCCCGCACACGCCGGGAACACCACACAACGCCCTGCTCTCCAAACCAGCACTCTCTGTTACGGTTCTGTGCCTCTCTCTGTGTTAACACATGCCCACCCTTCACTCTGTCCCACGTGTCGACACAAACGACAGTAGTTTATGTGTCACAGCTTCCAGGAAGTCTTCTTGAGTCACGCACACGTTAAGCGCTGGAGTTCCTCTGTGTGTCACCGTATTCTGCGTACTGGTCTGCTAGAGGATGTCACATGCCCTTCTCTGGTGACCGTGACTGCACCCTGGAGGGCAGGAGCCTCATCTTACTCGGGTGTGTATCTCCGATGCCCAGTATCAGTCACTCTCAACAAGTATTTATTCGAATGAATAAAATGGTCTTACGGTAAGAGTAACTTCATGGACCTGGGTATTCTTTCTTTTATTTAATAAAGTAAAATATTTTGGTGATTTTCTTTGTGGCTATCTCCTTGAAATCTTATTCTTTCTTTTCAGGCGCTGGCAAACTGTTTCTGTAAAAATCTCAATGGTAAATATTTTAGGTTTTCGAGGACACATATAATGTCTCACATACACTTTTTCTTTCCTCCTTTATCTTTTTAAGTGATCCTTTAAAAAATACCAGAAATAGGGGGGGCGCCTGGGTGGCTCAGTGGGTTAAAGTCTCTGCCTTCGGCTCAGGTCATGATCCCAGGGTCCCAGGATCGAGCCCCACATTGGGCTCTCTGCTCGGAGGGAGCCTGCTCTCCCCGCCTCTCTCTCTGCCTGCCTCTCTGCCTACTTGTGATCTCTGTCTGTCAAATAAATAAATAAAATCTTAAAAAAAAAAATACCAGAAATAGGGATATCTGGGTGGCTCAGTCAGTTAAGTGTCCAACTCTCAGTTTTTGGCTCAGGTCATGATCTCAGGGTTGTGGAATCGAGCCCTGTATCAGGCTGTGGCTTAGTGGGGAGCCCGGTGGACATTCTCTCCCTTTCCCACTCCCCTCTCCCCGCTAGGGCTCTCTCTCTAAATAGATAAAATCTTAAAAAAAAAATAAAAAAGTAAAAAAGATTTTTAGTTGGAGGGCTGCATTAAAGGAAGCCTTGAATCACATCCGGTCCATAGGCTGCAGACTGCTAAACCCTGGTTTAGGTCCACACCATCAAAAGCAGCCACTCCCTGTCTGAGAGTCTCCCTGAAGCAGTATGAAAACAGCACCCTGAGAGACAAGGTCCTCACGGATGCCCAAGTTCAATGTACCTCTGGCAAAATGCTGCTAATATGAAGCTTCAAATATGTTGAAACTCATCATCGGATAAATTCAACAAGCATCTGACAGGGTGGCCTTGACCTGATGAAGGAATTCGATTTCTGACCGTAAGTCAAAGTGATCTACCAATCAAAATACAGGAGGGAAAGCCAAGAAATGGTATGCACTTCCTTGTCTACAATTTTCAGTGGCTCCTGTTATTATTAAGGTTCCCTACTTGCCTTCCCAGCCTCACCTTCAGTCCCTTTACCCTAACCACACTGGCTCGTTTATTTAATTTCTTCAACTCACTATTGTCCCCTTTCCACACGTTACTGCCACTGCCTAGAATGATCCTACCACTGCCCACCTCTCCTGATGACACTGATGGATTAGACAGGACTTCTTCCCCTCAGACAGAGGACAGACAACTATAAGATATTTGTATATCTTATACATAAGATAGCTGTACCTATACCTGTAATTTTTTACATATAGATATAGCCCTCTAGCTTTGTTTTTTGTTTTTATAAACACACAATCAGTAAAAAGGAAAAACTGAGAGCATCATCTAAATCCATGCATGTGGGGCTCCTAGGGGGGCTCAGCGGGTTAAGCCTCTGCCTTCAGCTCAGGTCATGATCTCAGGGTCCTGGGATTGAGCCCCGCATCGGGCTCTCTGCTCAGTGGGGAGCCTGCTTCCCTTCCTCTCTCTCTGCCTGCCTCTCTGCCTACTTGTGATCTCTATCTGTCAAATAAGTAAATAAAAAAAATCTTTAAAAAAAGAATCCATGTATGAATTACACGAATATGATATACTGTATTAAGAGGTTATACATACTTAAAATATGTAAACATTACACATTTTAAAAGTTGAGGTTAGAAATAAAGATGACCAGAGATTCTTCTTACAACCCCATAAATTGTTTTGTGTATCTCAGAGATCTGTAAATGCTACTTTGGAAACTACGGCGTTACTAAGGCCATTTTACACACGCAGCCAAGTCCTTATTAAAGAGTTCCAATCCACATGCCCTATAACACCGCACACTCTTGTACCTCAACCCAACTCTATTTCTGTGTCTGCCTACTCTTGTCCCAGTCATTTAGAACTGTGCCCCCAGCCCCCATCAGAGCCACGGCACCCGCGTGCGTGAGCCCACGTGTGCGGATGCAGCACGAGTTGGGGAGCAGGACTGCGGTCCAGTGCACACTCTGCTCACTCACACATCCCCCACCGCCGTGACCACTTCTGCTTTTTTCTGCAACATTGTACGTAAGCACAAATTGTAATTTACGTTGTAAAAGTTCACAGTATCATATCATAAGTCTGTTCACAGGTAACAGACGGGAAACTCAGTGAAGTCTGGTAAAACACACGGTACTTGCCTGTCGAAGTACTCTCAGACGACGACCACTTTCGGGCAGGGCTGCAGTTTGTGCTCTCGGACGCTCGCTGACAAGACTTCTCTGACGTCGGCTGGGAACCTAGAGAGAGAGGGAAAAGACAGAAACCATAGGAAAATTCAAGTCTAAAACTGAAGCCAAACCATTCTGGGTCAGAACTGTCATATTTTAGTCGTCGTCTCGGCCATTCCCTGCAGTAACGGGACTCTGAGCTGGCGATAAGCGGAGAGCACGCAGAGGACAAGCCACCTGTGTGCTCTCGACACAGGTCCACAGTCTCATACACATGAGTTTCTCCTGTTCCTTAACAGAGCGGAAAACTCGTTTCAGTGGAAGAACGAGCAGAGGATACGGTTTAGTTCTTATGTATCACTACTATGACACACGTGAAGACAGTTACTGATAAAGGTCATTAGCAATATTCTAATCACATCTGTCCCCGATTATCAACTCAAGTTCATCATATGAACTGACAAAGAACATTTATAATGCAATTAATTAGGAACGACTTAATGTGAGAAAGCAGGTCCACCCTGAGCATTTATTTCATTTACCAGAATCAGAGGTGAGAATCAGAGTCAGACCTCACACCCGTACGTCCTATCTACTCCACAAAAGTCACTTTCCTAGTCTGTGTGTTTCCTCTACAGCATATTCGGGGAGAACTGGTGACTAATTTGTCTATGGATACAGCAAAAACCTACTTTAAAGCTGTACACATAAGGTTCCTTGGTTTATGTACATAGGAGCTCATAAAGACAAAGAAACAATTTCCTTTCAAAAAGTCAAATACTTTTTGCCAAAACCTGAAATCAATGCAGCATAATTTAACATATTTCTGACTCGAGAGAAAAGTACATTGTTCAAGAAGGATTATTTTCCTGGATAAAACATACTTGGTTCTGATACTGTATTCCTTGTAACCAAAAAAGCCAGCTGTGAGAATAATGAATGTCCATCTCCCGTCTGTCAAAAAAACTAGCAGTACTGCGAAACGCTCACTTTTAACTAGAAAGGAAATTACAAATTAAAAGCCTTACATATAACTAGGACCACAAAAGGTACAAGAAATCAAATACCTGAAGATGAGATTTTTAAGATGTCCCTCTAAACAAGAGTTAACTCCTGAAAGAAGACGTGACTAAGCGAATGGAGAACCACCTGAGAACAGAGAACTGAAAGGAGCTATATTTCCAGCTCGTCCCTTTCTCTGCGAGACGGAACAAACCCCGAGCTGTCCTATTTACACAGCGTCTGAAGTCACAGCACTGTACACCTCCTTCACAGGCCCGTAAGCGCGGCTCGGGTGAGGACGGGGCTGTGGGCTGCTGTTCAAGAGCAACACGTTAGGTGTCTGGGAACTGATCTGCTGATAGTACATCCTATTTCTCAAACACAGTGACGACTAATGGGAGAGCTAATCAAGAAGCAAGACTGTTTAATGCTGAATCTGAAAAATAAATACAAAAGGAATTTTAAAAACCAACAGTACAATAACTCCCACCCCCCGAGATTGTGGTCCAGATAAGATGTCCATTAAAAAGCTAAATACCACAATAAAAATATCTGAGAGGTAAAAGCCTAGGCATCGGTGAAGACACAACTTTGTAAGTATTAATACTGCAAACTTCATACACCGGACAGATAAAATATTTCCAACCCAGACACACAGCCAAGACAGAAGACAGCAGTGGCCAAGAAGCTTGAGACATCAGTGAACTCTCTGTCACCACTCTGGGGAAGAAAAGCCAACAATCTCAGGTTACCTACGATGGAAAGGAGAGGTTGGAGAGGACTTTGGTAAAGGCTTCTCTCTCTCGGTCATAGACTAACACTTGCTGAGGCCCCTTTATACACTCAGTCCTCTGCTAGACACGGGGGTGGGGGTGGATAAAAACAGCATACGGGTCTCTGCCCTCAAGGAGCGGATCTGGGGTCTTGAAGGTCATCCTGCACTGTGTGTCAGACGGCGTGCACCGTCCGTTCTTGAGCTCCCATCTTCAGTTTCTAGGCTACTGGGCAACGTTTCCCACATTTCTTGGTCATCTTCAAGAAAGTCTTGATGAAGGCTTCAACTGTACCTTTGATCATCAGGATATCCTGAGAATCACCCTGCCTGGCCTCACCCACCTCAGGGTAAAAGAGGGTACAGGCACTTTCTTCAAAGCTCGTTCTTTTGGTGGCATCTGGAGCTGCAGAGGAGGCAGTGGGAGGTGGAATGGGGGTCAGATCCCCAGAGACCGTTATTGGCAGCACTGTACAGCAATTCCTGAGAAACTGAAACAATTGAGAGAGACATGGCTTAGCTCACTTAGCTTCTGAGCCACTTTTCATTTCCTGAAAGTAAGGGAGGCCAGCAACCCATTCTTAGGATGTAACAGGAGATTGGAATAAAACTTCACTCAGGATGGTTTTCGTTTTCCACTTTAAAAGTCTGTTCGAATTCCCTTTTCATGAAAAGCAGAGATGTTCTTAACAGTGTTCCATATTTCAGGGGAATAAGGATGTATCCCTGAGACACAGATCTCTAGGGTTCGGTAATCATCAGCTCTAGACCTGTATTTCATTTAAAATCGGGGCTTATAGAACAGTAAGACGATGAGAATTCCTGAAAAACTTGACCTAATGAGGTAAAGCGACCAAGATCAAGACCGGAAAATGAGGATCAAAACTTACACACACGAGGCAGCAACCTGTTAAAGATGCTCAAACCGGCCTAAGAGCAGAAATCAGATGAGATCTGCAAACGTCACCTCCGACACCGCCACAAACGTACTGTGTGGCTGCGTGGCCAGGAAGAGCAACGTGACACCAGAGAGAACAAGCACGTCCGTTCCAAGAGACCAATAAATGCACGTTTCCCAAGCGGCAGCAGAGTGCGGGGTGGAGCAGCGTGGTGGGTGGTTAAGCCCATCAGCAAGGGCGGAGGTGCCCAAGTCTGAGCCCTGGCTCTCATTTTAGGACGGAGGCAGGCAAACGCACTTGGAGGTTGGTTTCCTAAAGCACTCCAAGTCCCCAGGCTCGTGTGAATTCCAAAGTGAAGTCATGTAAAAAATGGAAAGCGTTTTTATAAAAGTCGCACTAGCATCCATACACTGGCTCTTCAGGTTCATGGTAAATTTACTGCCCTAATTACTTAACAACGCCCCTGGCACGTGCAGGCGACTATTCGACAAGAAGGTAATAACCGGAGAAGGGCAGGACTCACGCCCAATTCGGAAACGGACTGGTGCAGACTGTGGAGCATCCCTGGCAAGCGGGCGGAAGAGGCGGCACAAGAGGTACACCTGCCGGGGAAGCAGGAGGAAGGCAGCGCCTCACACAAGGAGGGAGAAAGCCTCCCTGAGGGGCGTATGAGCCCACTGGCCCCTATGCGCAGCTTCTCCAGGGCCAGGTGATGCTCTGGACGCCATCCATCCAGCCCGCGGTGGCCACAGGAGGCACGAGGACTTGCTGAGCTCGGTTCCGGGGAGCGCGGCTGCCTGCGTCCCCTGCTCGCCCCTCACATCTCCCGCACGGTGGCCTCGGGGCGGTGACGGCTCACGATGTGGGTCTGTTCCCATCTCCCCGGGGGTCACTTCAGATCTGCTGGGGGCGGGGGGTGGGTACGGCGGGAAGCCTCTCCACTCCTTTAGGACAAGAGGCTTGTATGGATTCCGGTTCTAGACACTCCGGTGCTCCCTCAACGAAGACACGTGGAGAATCCATATGCTTGCACTTACCAGAGAGTTCTCTTCATTTCTCATCTCAACACGGCATAAAGCCAAATCTTGATATATTTCAGAAGCAAACAGACTATAAGTGGGATTCTTCAATTCACAAAACTATTGGGTAGAAACACTACTGAGTGTCTCATTACTCGGGTATCTGGCAGCTTTGGAAACATGTTTAGAAATGCCACACACATAAATGAAGTAGAAATGACAGAAAAATCGCCAAAGAAGTACCCAAATAACACTGCCCTTCAGCATACACGTAAGCTGGTTATTACATGTATACTCCTTCCCTTCAGTTGGAAAAACAGAGGACTTCTTGTAAAACAGAAGGCAGACTATCAGTATGGAGGGAAAATGAAAATAAACTCCTAATAAATTGGGAAAATAATGAGGGGACTAAGGAATTGAACACACTCAGACATGTGCAAGGCAGCCCTGGAAGTAGTTTTGACGACATCGTCTCCGGGTTTTACCAGGACACTATTCAGTGAGCTTTTAAACATAAAGACAGATTTTGGGGAAACATCTTTGCCAAATTAGACAGAAAGGGGGAAAAATGGTACTTATACAGCAAAGCCGTAAGATGAAATCATGGATAAAAAAGGCAGAAAGTTGAGAAAACAAAAAAAAGAACATAACTGGATTTTAAGAGACAAGAATCTGGAAATCTTTCCATCATAAACAACAATGGGTGGAAACCAAGACGCTCCTCGGAAGGAGATCTGTCACTAGAGATCTCGTCTGATGGCTAGGCAGGAGGAACGGAGACCACCCTAGGAGAGAGAGAGGCTACACCTGCAGACGCCAGGTGTGCAGGCACAGTCACATGGGCAGAAACATCAGCACAAAAAGAGAAAATCCCCATTGATAGTAGTTAGGGGGTGGGGAGTGGAAGGCATCACAGAGAAAACACTGGAATAATAATTCAACCGAACTACTCCACTGAAGCCTGGAGCATCCGGGGCTAAAAATGAGGAATTTCAAAATGTAAATTAACAAAAAAAAAAACCACAGTGAATGAAACCAACAGCTGGTCGGATAAAACATATATTTCTTTAACGTAAATCCACTATGAAAATTTTCATAATTTACAGTTATGAATTCTGGTCATGCCCTGTTAAGAGCTCAGCACTGAAGACCCAAGAAATTAGGGAATGATTTGGGTGAACAGATTGTTTGAGGTTTCTTTCTTTCTTCCCTTCCTTTTTTTTTTTTAAAGAGTTTATATTTTTTAATTTAAAAAATTTTTTAAAGATTTTATTTATTTATTTGACAGTGAGAGAGAGAACGCACACAAGCAGGCAGAGGGAGAGAGAAGCAGGCTCGCCGCTGAGCAGGAAGCCCGATGCGGGACTCGATCCCAGG